TTAAACCTAATTCACTTCAATAAAGATAACTATACATGCTATTCTTGTCATGAGCATCAAGGTGTGGGGACCACTCATGTTTAGTACATGTTAACTCAATATGTTATGGATGCCCCGATTCCCAAAACACCTGAATGCCATGCATTGTTGCATTTTCCTAATAGGTTGTTTATCGAAGCAATTCGCTTCACCATTTAGTAAGTAAGTCGACTGTTGCTATGGCCAACAGGTGGTAATAGTCTCATCCGACATTAGCATATTTCTCAAACCGTTTTCCTGAGGATAAAAGCTCCATTTAGTGTTCTTTTCAGATTTCAGCAGAAAAAAAGTAGGCTAGCACTTATTTTAACAAAGTACCTGATGGGTAATAATAGGGACACTGAAAGCTAAGGTGTGCAACATCTTTCATGAAGATTCTTTCTTTGAGAGCATCTTGCATTAAATCCCTACTAATGAATGTTTTTTAATAAGATCCCACCGTGCACTCCACTAATGAAGGCTTTTCACCATGAGTGCGGAGAGTGCACAGAAACACATGAGGGCAATGTGACGTTCAGGCCGCAGGAGTGCAGATAAGAACGACAGTGTGGGTTCAGACTGACCTGCAAGCCATATTCAATGATACTGACAGCCAATAAAAGAGACAATGATGCGGTCTGTTCGAGCTCATTAAAGGCAAAGGGTAACGGAGGCTATTAAAATGTCTATATATGGTTTTCCATATAAGGTTTGCCTGCTAGTCACTTATCAGTTCAGAATGGAGTTAATAGAGCTAAAGAAATATTCATACTTTTGACTGATCTTTTTTTTCATATAAATGACAATAAAAAATATAAATATGTTTTAATCTAATTGACTTTATAAATATATAATATTTGACTTAATAATTATATATTTATATATAATATAATATATAGATTATATAGTATTGTAATCAATAGATATATAAACCATATACCAAATATATATATATACCAAACATTTTTTTTAAAGAAAATTATTACTTTTATTCAGCAAGGACACATTAAATTGATCAAAAGTTACAGTAGATATAAAGACATTTATAATGTTACAAAATTTCTAAAATAATTGTTAACATTTCCACAAACATATTAAGCAGCATGAACTTTTAACATTGATGATAAGTAATTTTCTTGAAAGAAAAGAAAAAGAAGAAAATTCTGCTGAAAATTCAGCTTTGCAATCACAGAAATAAACAGTTTTCAAATATATTAAAATTATCAAATTGTTACAATTTGCTACAATTCAAAAATCTTATTGACCCTAAAATATATTTTTATAAATAATTTATAAACCTGATATTATTTTTATTACCTAAGTTTATCAGAGATGCTATTAAAACAATCATAGACAAGGAAACTAGTCTATTAATTACAGTTAGGAAACTTAACTAGAAGCATGTATTAAAATCATTCCAGTTTTCACAATTATTCAATACATTTGAATATTCAATACATTTGCAAGCTCTAGTCTAGAGCTCTTCCAAACACTGAATGAAGGCTGACACTAAGATAGCTTCACCAAATAGTATGAACTATGGCAGTAGACCACCATACATGTGGCATAAACCACAAGCATCAAAATGATAGCTCAAAATGCATTGCTTTAATTTTCTTTCTCTTTGTACCACCTAACAGTGTGTATTTAGTTATATGAAACACATAATGTTTAACTCATTTGAAGCAAGCATTTAGTACATTGCAAAATACACTCAATCGTTTCTATGAGAGGAAAAACAATTACACAAGCTATGTTGCTGTGTTGCAAATTGAGAATATATTAGCAGTACGTGAAAACATCAATCTTGGTGATGTCTGAACAATCTGGCCCATTCATGCAGCACATGCCATGCCTGCAGCATGAGGATTTAGACGATCAGCTGAGTGCAGCTTCCACTACAATACAACATTGTTCTCAAACGAAACGCTGCTTGTTTGCCTTCAAACTTTGTTGTGCGGCTTATCAGAGAAGCACAGCTCCAAATCTCCCTCTGAGCTCGCAAACTCAAATCAGTGTGTGTCCATTTCCTACTGCTCACTGTCAAACAAGCACTGCGCTCGCCCATAAGCCTTCTGAAATGCTGGTTTGTTTCTGTTGCATGTGCAAAAGAACTTTGAACATGAGCTGAGGCAAGAAAGAGAGCTGAACAGGAAATAGAAGAGATCTTGCACAATTTGAGAATAAACCTGACAGAAAAATACACTCAATAGTCTCTTTAAAAGACAAAGAATTTTTTTTTTTAAATTGTCGGTGAAATGTCTTTGGAGTGAACCCTTATGTCAAACTTAAAAATGTGTATTTTATATAAATTATATGACAAAATATCAAAGCAAGTTGAGTCTTCTTTTAAAGCAAGACAGCACAAGCACATAGAAGTTTAAATTCTAACAAATATACTGTTCGTAATGAAGACATTTTATAGTTGTCAAATATTATCAGAACATGTTCATATTTAATGTTAATTAGGGTCCCACTTTATATTAAGTGGCCTTAACTACTATGTACTTACATCAAAAAATCAGTACAATGTACTTATTGTGTTCATATTGTATTGCAAAACACTTTTGCTGCTATTGAGGTGAGAAACAGGTAAGGTGAGGGACAGGTTTGGTGGTATGGGTAGGTTTAAGGGTGTGTTAAGGTGTAAGGGATGGGTCAACAGTGTAATTATAAATGTAATTACAGAAATTAATCACAGATGTAATTACATGCAGATATTTTTCAAATAAGTACAATGTAAAAACATGTAAGTACACAATAAGTGCATTGTACCAAATGATCAATTTAAATGTAAGTACATAGTAGTTAAGGCCACTTAATATAAAGTGGGACCTTAATTAGTTATGAGAAATCACTTGATCTGATATTTTGTTTCTAATGCAATCACATATATTGTGATTTAAATGGTGTGATTTTAAACTCCACATACTCTTGTGCCTGTTTAATGTGGAGCTTGTAAAGCATCACAGGATCAAACAGGGACTGAAGGCACTTCCCTTTCAACACTTATCTTCCATTCCTCATCACTGAGATGCATGCATGTGAAACAAACCATGGCCCACGCTCTTTCAGACATGGAAATCTGTGTGCTTTGATAAGACTTGCTGCTCGTGCCTGAATGACATGTTTCTTGTTATCTGTGAACATGAAATTTGTCTTGTTCTTGTTACCCTGACAACAATAAAATCAACCAAGTAAGCTATAGTCACATCTTTTTGTATTGAAGACAAATGTTAAATAATAACGGCAATATATATTAAAGTCATGTTCTGTCTTCATATCTTCATATCTAAGATTGTCTTTCAGAATAATTATCTGGAAATGCAAGTCCTGACCTGGAATGGGTGTAATTATAATGTTTAAATAGTACTATATGAATTTATGCATTTATTTAATCAAAAATACATTTGTCATGAATCCTGTCCATGGACTTCCATTCAATCACCACCAGAGGTCACCCTTCCATTACATTGACTCTCGCAATACACAAACTGTTTCATGCCATCCCGGACTACATATTCCATCATCCATTGCACTGATTGCACACAGCACTGATTGCACACAGCTGTAACCAATCACACATTCACTATATAACACTCATTCAGATCCCTTTCAGGCTGCCGAGTATTGTATGCGCATATGGTTAGTTGTGATAGCTACGTTACGGAGCCTGCTTTAAGTTTCTTAGTCTAGCCTAGTCTTGCCTTGTCTGTTTCCTCGTCTTCTGATCATTGCCGGTGTACTTTGGATTACCTCTCTCGTCTTGCCCTGTTCGGATACTGTTTGCCCCTGCCTGGACCTTTGCTTTGTACCTGGATTATCCCTCTAGTCTCGCCCCTGTTGGATTACGTTCGCCGTCGACTGACCCTCGCTTGTTTACTGGACTGCTCTTGTTTTGTCTTCTATATACCTGTTTGCCATTGCCTGACCCTCGCCTGTTTTGACCACGCCCTTAATAAAGCTTGCAAATGGATCCATACGTCTCACGTCTTGTTTGCCCCGTAACAACATTAAAGCAGTAATATTATGAATTATATATTTTTTAAATTCAAAATAACTGTTTTAATATATTTTAAAAAGTAATTTATTAATTTGATTGCAAAGCTGAATTTTAAGCAGCCATTAATCCAGTATTCAATGCCAAATATCCTTCAAAAATCTTTGAAATATGCAGATTTTTATTTTTATTTATGTTGACAAGAGCTGTGCTGCTTAATATTTTGGTGGAAAAAAAAACCGAACTGAATTTGTCTTTTTTTCAGGATTCACTGATGAATAAAAAAACATTTATTTGAAATTGGTTTTATAACAATGTAAAAGTCACTGCCACTTTTGATAAATTTAATAAGTAAAAATATGAATTTTTTACAAAAAAATCTCCAAAAGGTAGTGAATGGTAGTGTATATGAGATTAATAAAAATGTGAAAAATAGATATTCATTTATTTTTCACATTTTTATTTATCTCATATATATGCTGCAAACCTCCAAAACTTGCTATCTACTCTTCCCACAGAAGCGTTATTGTGTTTTAATCTCTTTTTCCATGCCTTTCTTCTCTACACATACAAAATAAAACTAATTATGTTTAAAACCCTCCCAGCACTGCTCACCTGCTGATTATATTGTGAAAGCTGTGGTCACAAACAATATAAAATATAACACGTTTGCACACACGCATATGCTTTTTACTTATTGACCCAGCGGTTTAGTGCACACGCTGCTTTCTGACACATAACAGCTCAACCTTCTTATTTGCTTTTCCACTTTAATAGATCAGTGGTTTTTGGCTTGCCACTGGAAGGCCTGAAACCACAATAAATCACCCTGATAATCATCTACTTTTTACTTACTAAGCCGTAGGAGAGATACATGCTTTTCACTTTTTTCAGTTCACTTATGCAAAACAACTGATGCCTGTGGCTATGCAAACTAAATGCATTAGAAAGCATGTAGCGAATATAAATTACGCTTACTTACCTATATAGAGAGAGGAGTCCTTCTTCCGCACATGATCGTCTATGTAGGACACACCCAGGGGCTGAACAGGTGTGGCACCGATACCCAGCAGCATCTGGGCTCCAATCAGAAGCAGGTACATCATGTTGGTGTTGGCTCTACTCCCACACGGTTCATCAGCTTTAGAGGTGTTGGAGCACACGTCTCGCCCCAGATCCTTGCTCCACGAGTCTGTGATCTTGTACTGACTGGCGAGGAATTCTGGTAATGCGGACAGCAGTGCTCCCAAAGCCATGACAATGCCTCCACAGCCAATTAACCGAGGGCGGTGGGCTTTAGCACCAAAATAACTAACAAAGAGAATGAGGGCCAGGTTGCCGATCTCAAAGCTGCTGGCGATGACACCCACATCAGCGCTCTGAAGATTGAAGCGCCGCTCCAGTGTGGTCAGCACGCTCACCTAAGATAAACAAATCAGAAGAATTACTGTAATGTTAATTTAAAATAGTTGTAGGTACGATATCACCTTTTCACATATTACGGTATCTGAACCGGACGACTATTCTATTCAGCACAGGTTGGTGTTCAGGCGAGTGATGTACAGTGTAAAAGTTGATGTGGCATTATAACGGTTTAATTCTGTAATTTTGTTTAAAGGCACAATATGTAGGACTTTTTTATTAAAATATCCAAAAACCACTAGAACAGTGTTATATATTTTGCTGACTTGTGTACTTACAATATCCCAAATGTTTTGAAGAATGTTTAAATCCAGAGAAATAAGCAATTTTAACTAGTGACACGGAGCGTGTCCATAGTGTCATTGTGTCGCCTGCCAATGACGTCATAACCTCTCGATTTCCGGTTTTGTTTTGTAGAAAACATGGAAACACCAAAGAAGCTTTAATATGTTGTGCGTTTTAATAGACCGGTGCCGACCGCACAGAGTAGCATTATAACAGAACTTTCAAACGTATGTAGTATGATAAAACAGCGCTGCTTTTTTTCCCAACATATGCACGACCGGAAGGAGTGGAAGCGGTCGACTGTGGCATAATAAAAGCTCCGCTGCTTTCGAGCCGTGTGTCACGCTCGTTCAGCGGCCTCGTTTCGCTTCGATGGCTTTCAGCCTCACCCTGCTTCATTCTACTACGTTAATAAATCATTACCTCATCCATGAACATGATTTCTGATTTCTGTCCCGTCAGATTGCTTCGGCTGTGGGGATTAAGAAAACAACTCCCATGATTCCACACTCAGTCACCACGTCATCTAACTACGCCTTTGTCTATTTGTTTATTTTGAATACGCACCCTCTAGCGGTGAAAATTACAAATTGTGCCTTTAACAGGATGCTTAACAAAAGCAATTTTTCTTTGTATGGAATAAATTAATTATCATCAAAGCGTGTATGAAATTGCATGAATGCGTGCCTTTTTCTACAAAAATCTTAAAAATATATAGTACATATAATGTCTTTTAAAGAAGTCTCTTATGCTCACTCTTAGGCTGCATTTATTTGATCAAAAATTCAGTAAAACAGTAATTTTGTGAAATATTACAATTACAATGTTGAAAACAATTGCTGCTAAATATTTTTGAGCAACATTGGATGCCTAAGAGTTTTTACTCTCACTTTTGATTAATTTAATTTATCCTTGCTAAATAAAATAATTTATTTAAAAAAAAATACAAAATTGACCCCAAACTAGTGCTGGGCGGTATGACCAAAAATTTATATCACGGTATTTTTCAAAATTATACGGGTTTCACGGTACAAGACAGTGTTTTTTTTCATGCATGACTGAGTGTTAACCATATTTTCTACTGATTGAGAGAGAAAATACTGCAGTATATTGACTTAGAATGCCCTATTTTACTGTCATGATGAGTGAATATTGTCAAAAAATACCACACTAAATAGTGACTAAACACGACCCCTTTTAATACATGTTAACCATGAGTCACTCTCATTTATAATCGCGGCATCGTCTGATAAAATCAACATGCATCTACACTATGCGGTTGTTTTGGCTATATTACTTTTTTGTCTCATGCAGCGCACTGCCTGCGTCTGAGTAACTAAAAAAAAAACAACAAACAAAAAAGTGACCTATGCTCATATTTATAATTCCAAACAATCAGTAAGCGACAGGTGCTTGGAAACGCTGTTTTGTACTCATTTATTGATGAGTCGGCTGCGGTGCGGCCAACTGAATGAGCTGCTTCTCTGCCGCTCACTGCACAGAACAGACGCCGAGAGAGGTGACACTTCTCCGGGAAAGTCGAACCTTGCGTTCGCGGGACAGCACTGGCGAAATCTTCCAACTGAACCATAGCTAAGGTTTATCCAAAAAAAGTCGCTAGGTTTGTCAGTATGAATATTCTATGGAAAAAAGCCGCTAAAAGGGGCTGAAAGGTGCTAAATCTAGTGCTAAAGTCGCACTCGGGTGTGTGAGCCGCAGGAGCTGATGGCAGGGGGCGGTGGATATTTGTGGTGGTCAATGTGGATATTGTGGATGAGTTCTTCTGCGTCATCACGTTCTATTAGTTCTACAGCTTCAGTTTCGGAACTTTCACGCTTAGTTACACATACAGCTGTTCCCTCACCACAGTGCAACACCCCTTTCAAACAGTGTCGCGTTCCAAACGTTGTTTAAGTGACATATACCGGTATTGCGGTTTAATTTAAAATTCATATCATAACAAAAATAAAAACCGGTATTCGGTATGAACTGGTATAACGCCCAGCACTACCCCAAACTATTGCACAATATTAGCTCCATTTTCATTTTGTCAGTCCCCTAAGGTTGTTTGCTTTATTTGATATCAGTACTAAACAGGCACAGGCTGTCATCATACAGAAGTCAAATTCGACCCTAAACAATAAAACACCAAATCTAATCTAACCTGAGAGTCATCTTGGAGAGGTAACGTGTGATGATAAAGATCAGCAGCAAAGCTCAAAGAGAGGAACTGTCTTCACTTTCGCTACTATTTACCCAAGATGTGAAAATGAGATACAGTAATGGATCATGGAAATGGGCATGTTAAAGTAATCAACTCCCCAATCAAACCAAACACATCTATTCAAGGGTGGAATAAAAGGACAATAACCCCATGTCAAAGAAGAGAACTCATGACCCAGAAAAATAATCATCTTGACAAATCCTTTCAATCTTTGAAAACATCAGCATGCTACTTGTCATACATTCATTATCAAGGCTTATGACAAATATAGCTGGTGAAAGTGAAAAAATGCCACGAGGCAGCCTTGATGAGCAATCATGGGACTTTAATGAAGCAGCTTTGAGCTGGAGCCACACAAATATGGCATGGCTGTGAAAAGAGCATGTTATTGAGGACACGCTCTTTACTATAATCCTATTTCTCTAGAGCAAGCCTCTCTCAGATGCTCCATAGTGATCTTTGCAAATCTCCCCATGCTACATTACAGATTCCTACAGACTCAGATAATATGCATGGATTCTCTCGATTAGCTACATACACAGTTCTCTGGAATACTGGATTCTGATTGGTCATTCGTGGCATTAATCGACAATGTGATTACACGGACCGATATTTTGTATGATGGCCAATAAATTATATTTCACTGTTGTCCAAACATAACAATGCTTTCTCTTTTCAAACAGATGTTAGAATAGATGTCACAGTTTTGAGTGCGTGTGTGTGTTTGTGTGTGTGTGTGTGTGTGTGCAGATAGAAAGATTTACAGTTTAAATGAATATCAAATGTCCATATATTTATTTTACTTGGTAATTAGTCTTGTAAAAAGAGGGATAATGTACAATCTGCCAGTCATTATTACAAAAAACTCCTTAAATCTATTCCTTTCTCTCACTCTGCAAGTTTCCATATAGCTTTTAATGCAAATCAATTGTACATGCACTTGATGATGGTTTTTACCACACTATCCAGGGTTATTTAGGCCTCTTTGGGAATCATGGTGATTCTAGTGTCAGCTGAACTTCTGAATAGCACACCTCAGTGGATGGATTGATATAATTGTGCAGTATGAAAAATACAATTTCTGTTACCAAATCATCGGTATAACACTGTAAATTCTGTGCAGAGGAAGAGATTCCTAAACAGTTCAAATGCATGATGTGAATAATGAGTTTATTGTGGGCTTTAAACAGAGCAGTGATGTTGTTGTTATAACTGTCTGATAACTCAGTTTGCTTTAACTAAATTTTCTGTGGTTAGCTTGGTGCAATTCAATTGGAGAGTACCTTGGACAGTCTGGCAAACTGCTCTGTTTTGTGCAGAACTGTTGACTGTGGCACATTTGCAGTCTGCTAGAAGCCTGACTTAAAGGTGTCTTGTGTTTCAGTTAGTAATATGAAACATGCAAAACACTTCTCACTCCCTTACTGTTAAACTGTTGGTATATGGCTTTGATAAACTGCAAGGAACATAGTACTGTTCATGCATATACTGGTGACACAATTTGAATATCAAAGCTACTTGGTCAATGTCTATAATCATTCTTCACATCTTGAATATCTTTCTATCAAAAAGGTGTCTGTGTTCATGTGAGTGTGTCTAAATTTATGAATTCATTTAAACTTATGAAATAATAAGAGATTATATCTTACCAACAACATTTCCACTGTGCCAATAGAAAACTATTTTAAGATCTGGCCTAAAATGTCCAATAAAAAGCATATGCACGTTTTAATCCCATGAGTCATCTAAACATTAGCAACATTAATTTAAGAGCTCATATTGTAAAGTAACAATCATGGAAACAGGATTTTTAACACAGATAAATAACTAAACAGAAAGCTTTAAAACTTCTTGATCCAAAAACACGAATCAAAGTTGTTTAGTTTAAGAAATTAATATGAGAAAGGAGTGATATATATATATATATACTACAATTTGAAATATATATTTTCTATTTGAATATATTTTATAATGTAATTTATTGCTATGATGCAAAGCTGAATTTTTAGTATCATTATTCCAGTTTTCAGTGCCACATGATCCTTCAGAAATTATTCTTACATTCTGATTTGCTGCTCAATTATTAATGGTGCTCGATTATTAATAATGGTTCTTATTATTATCAATGTAAAAAAAATACTGCTTCATTTTTTTGTGGAAACATTTTTTCAGGATTCTTTGAGGAATAAAAGTTCAAAATAACAGCATTTATTTGAAATAGAATCTTTTGTAACATGATATATTTTCTTATATAGGCCTATATTTCACCTTTGATCAATTTAATGCATATTTGCTGAAACACACACCCCAAACATTTGATGTGGTACTGTTTTCAAAATTAGCCTATTAAATGTTTGATGATAATAATAATAATAATAATAATAATAATAATAATAATAATAATAATAATAATAATAATAATAATAATAATAATAATAATAATAATAATAATAATAATAATAATAATAATAATAATAATAATAATAATAA